CCGCCGCTTCAGCACTAGCTGCTTCACTAATCCGGGGTCTGGGAAACAATTTCCCGCCGCGCGTTCGGCAGCACCGGAAGTGATTGTTGCACTTCCGGGTGGTTGTCAGTGACGCTCTTGCAGTCGCCAGGGTGGTCTAAGCAGGTTCCGGGCTTGACTCTGGCTAGCGGGTCTGGCTCCAGTTGGGTCTACGCTGGGGCGAGCGACTGTGGTAAGTGATTTTTTGTGGGTTATCTTATGGGCTTGATCTTTACTGCCGGCCAGGGCTCGGTGCAGTATCTTGGCCGGACAGAGAAATAAACGGGCGAGTGTGGAACCAGGAATCCCCATCCAGCTCCGTGCTGCTTCACCCCCTGTGCTGCTGGAGAAGGCCTTAGGATCCAGGCCTTCCCTCCTTTTCCACTCGCAATATCTTTTTCTAACTTGGAACTCGACCTGGGGTCCCCAGGTGTCCCGGGCCAGGCCGAAGACACTGCGTACCGCTACCCAGCTCAGAGCGTAATCTCTGTCAGTGATCAAGGAGTGTCCATACTAGCGCCCATTGGCAAGGTTTGATTGTCTTCGATTCTGGAGGGCTGCTTTGCTATCCTTTTACTGAGTACCGTTTCCATAGTTCTGGGATGCGGTGCCCGGGAGGCAGGCAGTTGACTGAAGTGGACATCTTTAACAGACATTTAGGAAGTGGGATGAGGGGTTGGTTCCCAATTTAGAGTTAGTTGAACGTTCTGCAATTATGAGTAGGATGAAGAGAATGGTCTTTGTTTTCACAGTTGCTATGAACTAATGAGAAACAAGCTTGTAATCGCATGCATGGGCTGTTGATATACATGTTTTACCTTTTGGAAATCACTGGTTAGGAAATAGGTGTGCTTTTAGAAAGGAATGTTCGTGCTCTGCTCCAGTTTTTCAATAATGAAGGATTCAGGAGGATTTTAGATGGAGGTCCGAGGTAGCCAGAATACTTATAAAGAGAATTTGCTTCTAACAAAGTGATAATATGAAGAAAGGTGCTCATTTATGCGAACATTTGAAAGATGTAATGTGGTGAACCTTGGAGACTTCTCTCATTGAGTAACATAATTTCTTTGGTAAGTAGTTTTCACTCTCCACCTTATATTTAAATAATCACTTTTTCTCCTCATAAAACAGTTATTTGATTTTTTTCTGCAACAACCAGTTCCAAAAAGAATTCTAGAGATTATTCTACCATAAAGAAAAATTTAGTATGTTCAATTCGGTGTCTCTGATGCATCAGCCAAGTAAGTGCCTTGTTACCTTTTGAGAGTAATGCAACCATATTGTGGACAACACATTGATCTGATGTCCTTGTTGGTTAATAATTCAACAAATTTATAATCTCTCCATTGATCCCAATTTTGCCATTTTATTAAATCTTGTGTTGTTTCTTTTTCCCCCTTTATTTCTATAGTTGAAGGATTGTAAATTATTTGAGGGATATTTTGTGTTGTTTCCATATAGCCACTAGGTTTTAGAAAGGAATTGATTTTTTTCTTTTAAATCATTGATCTTGATTTCTGATTTTTCTGTTCAGATTAATGTAGCTAACCACTAATTCTTACCATGGCTAGCAACTCCCTGCTAGACCTTACATTCATTATTTTAATGAATGCTTACTAAGAAAAAAATCATATCATCTCTATTATTTTTATACTGAGACTCAGAAATTATACACAGATTATACAGTTAAATTGCACAATTGAAATTTGAGTCCAGTTTACTCAGCTCTAAACATTATCTCCTACTGTGCTATAAATCCTCTTAATCAATAAACATAACAAAATCATTCTTTTCACTCTTAGGTAAAATTGATTAGGTAGTATGTCACATTTAGAAGTCAAATGGATAGCAACATATGATAAAAGGATTTCAGGAATGTGTCCATCACTGTAAGGTAATTTTAACACATGAATAATTTCCTTTTTGATTGATTCTGCAAATGATTATACTGTGCACTGGCATAATACTCGGGACAAATATAAGAGATCAAGAGGTATCAGCATATTGGCAACTCTAAAACCAGAATATCAGCTCTTCAGGCAGCTTTACATATACATGTTTGTGTACATGTATATTTGTGTGTGTATATATAGAAAAGGAGAGAATGAGTGATTGAACGTAAATTCATAAAATTAAATGTATTGTTTTGTTTTGTAAGAAATTGTTATTATTTTCTGATAATTAGCAAGACTAGTCTATTCCACTCATGTAACCCTTACACAGATAGTAATTATCACACATTTTAAGGGAGCATGATTAATTAATCCTGCCCATTCCAATATCCTATTTTACATGTAGAAATACATATAGCTTAATTGTCAAAGAATTTTAAAATCTAGTTGGAATAACCATTGTAAGCTATAACATAGATCTTGATTGTAAAGACTATGCCATTTTACAGAAAGACACAACCGTGTATAACTAACCTCAAATACAAATACGTATTTAATTATGTTGCCTTGACTTAATAATGTAAAAGATATTTGCTTGCATAGCCCATAGGTAGATCTATGGAGTATTTTGCTTTCTGTCAAATATCAGCACTTGTGAGGGTTAAGGTTATACTTATTTTGTTCATCCAGTATCTACCACTATACCTGGCATGTAATAGAGTCTTAGTAAACATTCACTGAATGAGTGACTCCTTTTTAATTGCTTATCCACAGAGAAGTGGATTCTCTGGAAGAATCCTTGCCCTGCATCCTGATTGTGCAGCTCCACACCTCGGTCCCCTACCTAGAAGGTGCTAGGCCACCCGCCTCTCTTGTTTCCATAGAACCAACTGGGATAACTGGGATGCCTCAACCTGATCCCAGATTCTTGGCTGCTTTCCCAGGCCTACCTTCTGGTGATGAGGAAAACTGTCATTTTTTTTTACTAGTAGAATTTAACATATACAAATGGACATGTATTTTTTAAAAGGACTTAATGACATAAATAAATTAATGCTTATTTATTGTTACATACTTTGGCCATAAAATGCAATGTCCACTCTATACTCATCTGTAAAAGAAAACGTGGTATCTTGCAAAGAAGACTGGACCGTGAGACGGGAGACGAGGGAATAATATGTATTGAACACATACTCTGCTGTGCAGATTTACATTTAATCGTCTCATGACTATGAGCATGATTCTCATTTTTTTATTTTGCTAAGTTTATCTCTTCTTCTCTTTCATGAGAGAGATAGACAGGCACCCCACAAAGGGTCCCTATACCACCATTCACATCCTGTCTTAACTGACCAGATCATATGCATACCCAGAGTACTCAGGGAAGACCTGAGATGCAAACCCAGAACCTTTGACATGTGAATCCAACTGCATTACCACTGTACCTCCACCTTCTATGCATGAGAAAACTGAGGCAAAAATAAGCTCTATAAATTGTCCTACGTTACACACAGACATTAAGTACCAAAACTGTGAGTTGAACCAGTGCATTTAACTCCAAAGACCATAATCCAACCCCTTTAGTGTACTGCCTCCATTTGGATTTTAGTCTTTCTCAGCTATCAAATGTGTTTGAAGGCAAATTTTCTGGGGATCATATTTTTCCATGTGTAACATATGGGAGTTGGATTAGAAGATCTATTATGTCTATTCTGCCTCTGAAATGCTCTGATTTAGTTGATTCCCAAGTATGACTAAATATATTAGGTCGTAGAGAAAGTCATGATGTGTTTTTCTATGTAAAAACGCATCATGACTTTCCCAACAACCCAATAGCAGTTCTAGTGTGTTAGGAGACAAACATCAGTAGAATTTTACATGTTATTTGTGTCTTCCACATTGACAGATATAAAATCTTATAATGGAAAGAGCACAGTCACTATTAGAAATTTTTTTCAGCTTTTTTTTTTTTTTACTAGTTTATGACCCTAGTAAGTTTGTTTGTGTGCTTATGTTTTCGTATGTAAAATAGATCCATTTAACTGCTGTGAGATTTAAGGGAGTTGACATGCAAAGCCAGACACACAGTCCAACACACAGTTGCCATTAAATAAATATTCTTTTTTTTTCACTTTTTTAATTTCATTTTCTTTTATACATTCAATCACATTATTTAGCTTACAAAATAAATATTCTCTTTCTCTCTCAGTCATATGAGGAATAAAGATTGGTGTATATAATGCTCTATAGAGTTGACTTCATGGCCTGATGGTTTAGGCAACTGGATCCTACAAGGCCAACCACATGGTTTGAGTCCCACACCCAGTAACTTGAGAAAAATGTTAGTGCATGTGCCCATGTTCCCAAAATTCAGAAAGGAAGGAAAGAGAGAGAAGAAGGGGTTGCTGTGTGACTATTCCTGATGGGGGGGGGCCATCTTTCCCTGGTGAGTTCATGTACCCTCTGGTCAAAAAAATAAGTAAAATAAAATAGCTTTATAAGTTAGGTCAAGGTTAAAAATATTTTTACCTATAATCTAGGAGAGGTAAAGTTATACATATAAGTAGTTATTGTACAAGGGACAGTTACCATATATTGTTGAACATAATACATGACTGGAATGTAAAAAGATATTATGCTTCCAGGAGGGCAGAGGAAAGATCTCATGAAAAAGGTAATGTTAAGTTTGGGTCTTAGAGATTAGTGAGGATTTTGGCAAGTGGACAAGAAGGAAGAGAGTTTTATTAGAAGATGCAAAGGTGTCAGAAAAGAGAATAGTACCTAGATTACAGTAGATATATAGGATTAGGACAGACAGTTGTCTGGATGAAGTGGAGGGTGGAGTTGGCATTTGTTACCTTTGTTATGGAAAATTGCCTATAATCCCACCACAGAGAAATAACCACTCATCTTTATTCTCTACCTTACAAATTTGTGTATATGTGTTTTTAAATAAAAGTGAAATAATACCATACATTTTATCTTGTGACTTGCTTTTATCCATGTTATATACCACCTATCTTTACAAGTCTGTAAATTTGCTTCTGTAAAATAATTTTAGAGCTTACATACTATTCAAATTTATTAATTTGTTATGTCTTTTTAATTTTTATGTATTTATTTTTTGCCATAGGTCATGTGCATTTGCCCAAGAGACAGAGATAGAAAGAGAGAGAAGGAGGATAAGAAATCATCTCCACCAGGAGGTGGGTTGGCCATGCAGCATTCCCTCCATTCTCCTCTAGGGATTGTGGACTTTGGGCACATACGTACACACACCTGTCATGATTTTCTATCTACC